TTATCTAATTATTTTTTTTAACTAATATTTTTAAAAACCAACCATTACATTAAAAGTTCTATTCATATAGATTATATGTGTTAATTTTCAAATTATTCTAATACATCGAATCACTTTGTCAATTATAGAAAATTTAACATCATTTTTTTTTTATCAGCAAAACGAAGATCAATATATTAATTTTGGGAGTACAAGGGGTACTTCAACCCATATACAAAGATAAAATCCTATAATTGGCATTATCAGAACAGACCAATCAGCCAAAAATAGCATAGCTGACCGAAACCAGCAACTCATGCATGTCTACATGAAGACCTCATATTAAACGTTGATGCTGCTGTTGGAAACTCTTCAACATCCTCTTATACCGTCTAACAGCGAAGGCACAATCAATTGGATTCATCTGCCACTCATACAAAGAAAAAGCACATCCATGCACCTTATTTTTAACCCAAAAAAAGACTTCATTTGTATCTTATCCAACAAACACTCCTGCATACTCCCATAATTCTTAAAAACACAAGCATTCCTCCAATACCAAAGATACCATGCAGCAACAAGAAAAACACATGCACCCAACTCCTTCCCTATAATTCTACCCATATCAAACAAGAAAAATTCTGCCATTCCCCTAACGGTATTCAACATGACAGTTTCAAAGCCCCACCAATTCAACACCTTCACCCAAACTAACCAAGCTTCCCTGCAAGTGCAAAATAAATGATCAACCTCCTCCACCACCTCATGACACAAACCACACAAAGATCCCTCTTGCTGCAACAACACACCCCTTTTTTGTAGATTCCATTTTGTTGGCAACCGATCAAGACATAACCTCCACCCAAAAAAGCTGACTTTCAACGGCACTAGCCTGCACCAAATGAGCCTGCAAATTTGGGAATCAAGATGAAAATTTAACATCATTAAATATATGTTAATTAAGAATTTTTTTTTATTAAAATGTTACAAATGTTAGATCAATATGAAAATTGATATAAATGATCTATATAAATAAAACTTTTAATTCAACTATCAATTTTTTAAAATATTAATTAGAATGTGGGTTTTAGATAGGTCCTCAAAAAAAAATTTTGGAAGGATGATCTCCTCTACACTATCCTCATGTGTGTGTATAGGAAAAGTGTTTTGCGACCAACAATTAATTTTTTAAAATATTAATTAAAAAGTATGTTTTAAAAAAAATTTTGGGAGTATGACTTACACTATAGTAATCCCTATATATATTTTTTACATGAATCAAAACTTTCATTTATCAGAATTATAGGGTACTCCATTGATAAACTTATAGCCACACCAACACACATATATATATATATATATGAGAATAGTGGATATTAATTTCAATTTTCAAAAAAGTTAGAGTTTTAATTTCAAAAAACACCTCGTTAATAAATATTTTCAAAATTTAATAGTTAGATTTAGTATTCTATTCATATATAACATGCAGATTAATTTTTAAATTAATTGAATATATATAATTAGTTTATTGATTATGAAAATTTTATATTATTTAAATATATATTAAAAAATACAAGTTTCTTAATCAAATGATTATGGATGTTAGATTAGTTTGGAAATTTACATGCATAATATATATTAATATAATATTAAATTTAATTGTTGGTTTTTGAAAATATTTATTGGAGGGTGGTTTTTTTTTAATTTAGAACTCTAATTTTTTTTATTGAAGTTGGGACATGTACACACTTTTCCTTATATATAAATATATATTTACTCATAATTTGTACTTGCATCACTTATATAATACCTTAACTATTTATTTTTTTACTATGAATAATTGAAATTTATTATCTTCTAAAAATATTATAAAAAAAATCAATTGTTAAATCACATTATCTATTTATTTAGATCTTCATGACGCTTCGCTACATTTTTTTGGCTCAAAGATTTCTATCAATCTTATTTTATAATTCATATACGAAAATATAATTTCTATTAATATTGTTTTTATGCTAGATATATAAATTTTACTAATAAGAAAAGGAAAATAATAAGTTGGTAGGCAAGAGCTCTATTCCCGAAGCAATTAGTAATTAGATTTTTTTTTAAATGATTCAAAAATAATTTTTTTATATTATCTTATGTATAATTTTATATGTCATTTGAATTATTAATTTTTTATTTATTTAAAATCGATAATATAAAATATATTTACTTATTTAATAATATGTAACAAATTGTATAAAAAATTATATAAAAAAAATTGTTCCTATATCACTATTTTTTTGCTGAAAAACAAAAAGTTTCATTACTACTGAGCAAGGGGTACTCAACCCAAACGAGCATATTGTCCCCAGCTACATAAAAACCATAGCAATTGTAATTAGATTTTAGAGATATGAGATCTGATCGTTAGTGGTTTAGATTCAGTTTTCACTTTTCATTCCTGAGCAAAAGGAACAACATACGTTGACGATGGTCACGCACACACAGATATTTATTAATACCACATAAATATAAGGTTTATGTGGTATCAAAATTATTAATTTAAATAATGTAAATTGATTTGATTTGAATGAAATTATTAATTTATAAATAATTGTTATATAAAGTTTAAAAAAATATCAATAAATAAATAAATTTTAAATTATTAAATAATAAATATTAATAAATTAACAATTAATAACTATAACTATTAAATATTTTTAATAATTAAACTAAATACAATTACAATATTTTTACGTGACATT